TGCCCATCACACATGTCCCACCTGCAAACAGACACACACCTGTCCGAATACACCTGTCACTGATGCTTATTGAACCTCTCCACTCCTTATACTAACAGACAACAGATTGGGCTGAGGATACAAAAGTTATTTTTGTCACTTTCAAAATTGTTTGTTACCACAAAGTTTAAAGTTTAACCTGGAATTATATATAATTTGTCCCATACGAAGGGGTTAAACCAAACTCTAGCAAGAGATATAAACTGTTACTCATTTGGATAAGTGTGGTGGGATCTCTAACATGGAAATTCCAACTTTATCTTGCAACTATCACTAACCAAAGCTAAGTATTTTTACATCAGTTGAGTAAAGAAACTGGCACAACACTGCTAGAGATTCAAACCCAGGACCTTCAGATCCCAAGTCCACAGCCTTAACCATGAGACCATCTCACGACCTTAACCTACGTGATTCACAACACCACGTCAGTGCCCTGTGCATACCTTCCCCTGAAGGCCACAGGTGGGGATTTCACCCATGTTGCCACTACAGAACCTATTCACTGCTAATTCATGGCTGTCTTAATGGCAGGTCCAGCCCCTGTATTTAGATCTACGGCATTGACGTCAGAACAGTAATTCTCCCTGTACCGGCAGATCCTGTGTACAGCTAACTCTGTATGGGTCAGCCGGGAGGTTTTTGTTCCCCACTGAAATTACACAACTTGTAAGTGGCTGGGTGATAATGGGGGTATAATGGGGATGCTAAAAATAACTTTCGTAACTCTAACATCAAGGAAGATCCAGTCAAAGCCAGGTTAAGACGTCCAATCAACCACTTGTGGCTCACAATGCACTGTATACTCTTATCTTCACGGTTTGCTACATGTACATGTGGCTTTTCTACATAATACTGTAGCTGTAATTCTGTTAGGATCTCCTTGCTACACCTGTATGGCTACTACAAAGGCTACATTTGGTTTGCTACCACAGCTTGCCATGTTACATGTGCATCTGTATTGCTACAGTCTACATTTGCCAACCTTGCGTGACACAAAAATTTTGCTACCACGACTTTCCTTGCAACATCCGTGTTGCTATACATCTGCCACAAATATTTTGCTACCACAGCTCCCTGCTACACCTACACTGCTATTTCCTGCAATCAAACGATGAGGTAACGACTTCCCGACCTTCACTTTCAAGCCATATTCGTTACCCCAAAGTTTGTTGTGAGTTCTTCCAACCAAACAACAAGACAATGGAGTGTTTTCCTTCTTCAGCTGTCCTCCTAAACTAACTTCCTCTCCCAAACGGATGTCTCTCCCTGTCTCTACATGATTCATATTCAGCCAATAAAAACTTTCTTTCTCTGTCGGCGCAGCGTGACGGTGTGGCTACCACCTGTGTAAAGCGAGTTGCGGGATTTCCATACAGTAATTCACTTTATGTTCACGGTAGCAAAAGTTCACGGTCTGAGAAAAGTGGACATGTTCACAGAGCTATGTATTCACGGTGGCAACAGGTGCAGGAAAAAGAAAGTCCAGGAATTATTTGTTAACTGTGGTGATAAGTTCTCGATACAGAAGTGACAGTGAAAACAGTGAACATATAAGTACAGTGAAAAATCAGGAATTACAGTACTCCACTCTTGTAGGACAAACACCTCTGAACCAACTCCTTATTGTCTGAGTTAGATCCCAGCACATAAGCAATCTGCACGTCTCTAAACATCTCTTTTGTACCTTCATGTCCAACTGTCCAACAGAGAAACTTACAGACAGTTCTGCACAAAGGGACTGGGACGTTAATCCGATGTAGGGTGTCAGGCTGTCACTACGGTGAGGTTTAGTGTGTACCTGTTCATACATCTTCAGATTGATATCTTTGATATGTTGGGATATAAAAAGAAAATCCCAATTTAGATATTAGTAATCTGAACCATAAATATTGACATGACTGGTCACTTATATCTTTTACTATGTAACAGCAAGATCAAGTATTTTCACTGTTACAATAAGGACCAATGCTTCATACAATGGCAAGGAAAGATGCTAAAACTATTGAAAATTTGTTGACTGTTGTAATGCCATGGTACATACAGTATGACTGTAACTATTATGTACAGATTACGAAATGTTTCCTAAATTCAAATTAGGCTTAGAAGTGTTTGTACCGCTATTTACAAATAGATTTAGAATAGACAGTTACTATTTCACTTTTAATCTATTTATGTGCTAATATTTTAGTTCTTTTCTTTGGCAAGTATACCAATGTTGTATACCACCGCTTTACATTGTTTGCAATTAGCCTCCAGGCATAAATTTGCAATAAAGTTATCATCATTATTATTTACAAGCCCCAAGCTAATATATTTCTCTGTCTCTCACAGTTTCTATGTCAGTGCACATTGGATATGAACCAGACCAGGCCCAACAATGGACGACAGAAATCCAACCATGCTGAACGTTTCATTGCTGCTAATTTCCGTGGAGTAGAGAAGAATGGAAGGACCAGATGATTGGTAAAACCAGACTGTCCCGAGCGCACGCACACCAGCAATTAATCCTGATGAGAAGTTAGATCTTTTGTGGTGAGGACCGCAGGTAATCCCTACTGAGTACTCTGTCGTGACAAGACCAGGCTGGTATCTTCATACTGATATATCTATATGGAAGGATATACACGGAGCAGGAATGTAGGTATCTGTATCTGTGTATCATGTGTATCATCTGATGAGTACTCTGTCGTGACAAGACCTGGCTGGTATCTTCATACTGATATATTCATATGGAAGGATATACATGGAACAGGAATGTAGGTATCTGTATCTGTATATCATTAGTACGTGTTGTATTATGGATCAGTATTTTGAGAATGTGACTATATCATGATAGGGGATATATTTTTGTGCAGATATTTTTTCACAGCATGTAACATTGTAACATTTTCAGCTTCTTTGAGCAATTTTGAGGCAAGTGAGTTACCAAATTTACCAACAGCCAAGGACATAATTTTTGTCCATTGTCTACATCCACTTCCAAGAAGCCTGGGGAGGTTATTCTCAAATTTGCAGGAATTCCCAAACAAGCACCTCCACAGTAGGTCACATTAATGCAATTCATTGGTTCTCTTATGTTGGAAAAAAAAAAGCAAAACAGCTAAATTAAACATGAAAAACATAGCCAGAGAGGAGAGTACCTATACACACAATTTAGGGAGGGACAACGTATGCTGGTAAAATTTTCCCTCATAGCTTTCATGTTGTCTTTCTAAACTATACTGGCTGTGATCCAGAAAAATAACTTGGTGTGGCCCACAGTTTACTTTGACAGTCCCATTCTGGCCATGACCTCAGTAAGCTGGCATGTCCTCCCAGCCCTTTATAAGCACTTCAGCCGAGCAGAAACGGTACTTAAGGAAGGTATCCACAACTTAAGACAGGTATCCAACACTACTTGGACAGGTGCTGCTTCCGTTAGGTCACAATGAAGCCAGTCTTCAGCTGAGACACAAACTCATCTCTGCTAGACAAAGGCGGTTCAAACATCTATTTTGACAGGGAAGGACGAAAAAACAGAAACACAATAAAACTAACAGCAACACAAGACAGTTTGTACTAGATGTTTTGGAATACAAAAAAGCAATTAAAATACAACAGAGATTGATAAGTGTAATAAGAAAAATGATATATACAAAAACTTGGTCATAAGAAAACAATTTTCTCAAAGGCAATAGATAGCTATCTACTCACTAGAAAGTAGGCAAAAGCTAAAATATACAATACTGCTAAATATGAACCCTCCCATTTCTGAATCACATCTATCAACAGCCATACTGCAGTATAAATAGTGTTGTGCAGTCTGTATAGTGAGTGTGTGAGTGAGTCTGTATGTCAACTTGGTGGGAAAACTCTAGCTGATCCCTTCAAGGCCAAAGTTGTTAAAGTCATTTATTTCAGGAAACCGTCCAATTCTGACGACAACAGTGGTTGGTTCTTCTCCGGCATAATGGAGGATTTCCTCACTTCAGACTTCAAAGCAGGAACCATGAGAGGTGGTGAGAGGGGCAAGGATAGGGGAGGACTCAAGGACAGAACGTCCAACATCATTTAATTAAAGAAACAGGTCAATTTCCGGTCAACGTTTAAGTACATTTTGACACTCAACATCTGGACGTTCAACCTTGTATAAATGGATTTTTGATTGATTCAAGCAAGTCATACGGTGGCAAGGCAGTATCAAATTGGCCAGAGGAGTGTCCATTAGCCACTGAAGGATACTGTCTGGCCAATTTGCTACTGCCTTTTGCGAAAGATCTGCTTGGAGATTACATTTTTGATTGATTCATTTAACTTTGAAGCTGTTGCAAAAGTGTTTAAGTACAGCAAGGTGTGTAGAAATATTCACATCATTTGAGCAAGAAAACCGTTCAATTTCCGGTCACCTCAGCCGACACCTGACCTTTTGACCTCCAGGTCATCCTTATTAAATGCAGTTTTGATTGATGGGTGGATTTTTAGGTTGTACAGAGGTGGGCACTTCTCAAAACTGATTAATGTGGAAGTTTGTAACTTTAAAATGAGAAAATTAGGGCTGTCTTATCTGTAGGATTAATTGATACTTTGTGAATCATCAACTCTGATCATGTGAGAAAGGACTTTGAACTAAGAATTGTTACACATTTAGTAATAGACCTTTGATTTTGAAGCTAAAAAAATTAAAGATGATGTATGTAGTGTGAAGAATCTAGTGTGGCTTACCAGCCCTATCTTGGCAACGACAGTCCCAGCCACAGTTAGGCCACAAAAAACAGGGCTCTCCCCAAGCAATGAAGCAAGGGTGCTCCCCCTCTCCCCAAATCCTAGCACAACTCCCAAAATGTTCAAATTTAGGGTTTTCTCTTAGTATTTCATGAGAATTCGCTGATTTTTCATCAACCGATTAGGGAGCACCTCTCCCCTCAGAATTTCTGGAGAAACCCCTGAAAACACATAAATAAATAATTAAAACCCCCACTAACCTGGATCAGAGTGTGCCGCCTGCACGGTGCCGACAGTGTGCTGTCTGGCGGCGTCCTCGGGAACGCTGAAGCTGTACCTCGCCTGCCCGAACACCGGCGGCATCTCCCCGGTCCCGATCACGCTCACCGCCACGCTCGCGTGCGTCTGCGACACCAGACCGCCGCCGTCCGTCGCTGAGACTGACAGGTGGTGAACTGACTGCTGTCCTGAGTTTAGCGGACCCGCCACGGTGATCAGGCCTGTAAAGAAAAAGAGAGGATTTTGAATTTTTTAAAGTTATTTATGCATTCTTGAGCTATTCACGTCAAGAAGAAACCTTCAGATCTTAACTTGGTGGCAAGGTGGTCTTGTTAAGAGTGTTGATTCTGACATGATCTTATATAATTAGCCTTTTGCAGAGACACAGAAATTTCTTAGAAACAATCACGCAAAAAAATTGCTTCACCACACCAAGCTTCTTTTCCTACAGGCATGAAAGTAGAAGTTTTATACTATTTTCCCAGAGGTATATAATAATATAAGTATACTTAAAGTTTTGTAAAGGGAGAGATAAATGTAGCACATCCATTAACATCAACCATGTCTTGTACTGGTAATTACTATTGTCAGCCTTGTAAGTTCAAGTGTTGTACAAACATGCATATCTCACAAAAGTCTGTCTCCATTCTATCAAAGGTTCAAAGCGAGGCATTCTGAGCATTTCATGAATAACTGGCATTAACATTCCCAAACAATCGTGGCCTTTCAAAGCTCCACACCCTGGCCGCTTATTTTCTCCTTAAACTGGACTGAAGGTGAATTTGTACAAACGACTTTGCAACACGAGGTCTGCCTCACTTGCTGGCTTGACGCAATCTTCTCTTAATCCTATTTCTTTGAAGCCATTACACCTGAATCCCGACCAGCTCGTAATTGCAGAAAACTTGCCCCACGATTTCTCGCAAGTCACGCCACCTTTTCATGAGATTTGCTGTAACATTTTCCCAACCTATTACAGGGCAACACCTAAAAATATCTTCGCAATGACATTGTGCAAGTAATTGTTGCAGCTTTCCAACCGTTGGCAAGCCAATCCTTGTGATCTCCAACTGAAGAGCTAATCTTTCACAGACAGTTGAGATTCAAGACTCAAACACTTTGTTCATTCATTCATTTTTTTTTACAAAATAATGTCCAAAACTATCTGCACTAGAATGATTCAATCATTTTCCTCCCTTTCCTGACTTTACCATAGTCCAGTTTACAAATGTAGGTGCAGGTAGACATACAATATAAATAAATGTATCTTACAATGTGGAAATCAAATTTCATACGCACTAACTAGTTGCACATACACATGTCATCAATTTTGTCAAATACCTGACAATGCACAACTCAAATTTCATATGCACTAACTTACACATACAGGTGGTATTTCGAGCCCTGAGATCTAGCTATAATTTGAAGTCATCAATTTTATCCATCACTTCATCATTTTGAGGGCATGCTCCCTTTTTATTGTGATTACACACACGCCTTTATTGTTTTCTTAACATCAATCCATCAACCTTAATTTCTCTTCACGATCAATAATTGCAGAAAGAATACAAAGTCCTGATAAACCCAGGGGGGTAAAAAATTGTCAGGGTTTTTGTTTGTCAAGAAGATAAATGTGAGCTGAGGAGGTATTTTTAAATCTGGAAATGTACATCAAGTTCTTTTAACTGTCTATTCCATAATCCCCATTCCCATTTATAAACTAGGTTACACCTATTATTAGACCTGATGTTGCCAGTTTGGAAAAAGTGTTGAGAGGTTTTACCCCCCAGGAATGCACAGATTAGATATTCAGGAATGCATAAGATACTGGGGAACAGGCCTAGGGTGTTGGATGTATTATAATATAACTGTTGGAGTTATGTCAGTAGATGTTAGCTAACCCAAAACTGCCAAAGAAGACCATTTAGGGGACTGATAAAATCTGGTCTATATGGACAGGTGGTCACTATAGTATAGACAGGATTCCTAATGCTTGTGTCAGTGGAAAAATTTTTTTGAGGTGTTCACTTGTAATAAAGTTGTATAGGCTTGACTGTAGTTCACACACTATGTTATTAGATGTTAGCTAACCCAAAACTGCCCAAGAAGTATAGGGTCTATGTTGACAGGTGGTCACTATAGACAGGATTATTAATCAGTTAATGCTTGTTTCAATGGGGAAAAAGAGGCTATGCCTTGACGTACCACATATATGGTCTGTAAATGTTGGGATGGACTATGTAAGGTTATACAGTGAAACCTGCCCAAGAAGACCATTCAGGGGACTGATAAAATCTGGTCTATGTGGACAGGTGGTCACTATAGTATAGACAGGGTTCTTAAAGCTTGTATCAACGTAAAAAAATTGTATTTTGTAGAGGTGATCACTTGTTGTAAAGGTTTGACTGTAGTTCACACTAGAGTAGTATGACTAGAGTTTAAGGCAAACATGACTCAAAGCTGTTGCTAGTCCTGCTAATATAAAACCAGATTGCGCCATGCTTTGCACATATAAAGCCATTGTCTACAAACTCCACCACAATCCACCGGTTTTTCACCCCCTTTCAGTCGTGCATTGACCTGGTCCTGTTTACCTGTCCACGTTTGAAAAACGCCGTCACCGCCGCCCCGATCTGTGTCGGTCCCGGCGTAACTGTAACCACGCGCACAAACGGAGCGCGGTAACCCGAACAGACCAAAACAACTGCCGCGTATTTACCTTACGCGTACCGGGCCGAGATGCTGTTCCTCGCTAAGACTTTGATCTAATTGTCTGGCGAGGTGTTTCTTGTGTTCCACTCCCCCACGGTGTGATGGGCATGAATGTGTGTGATTATATTCTCTATTGTTCCCCGACACACGAGAGCTTTCCTGTGTTCAACTGAGGACAATCGCGACGTATGAAAAACTTCCTAATTTCATCACAAACTTTGAAAGGTGTTGGTATGTTCTAACCTTGTTCAAACATGTGCTGCTCTAAATGTTAAATTGGCACAAGGAAGGGTAATGTTTAGTCTCTGTCCCCCACTGAGAGATGATACGATAGTACATAACTACAACAAACAGCTGAGATCCACAAAATCCTCAAAATCTTCCCCCGTTATCCAATGACCACATAATTGCATTTCTGTCTCCAGACTTCTGGGTCAAAACAATACATGTACTAATTTTTTAACACAAACTCTGTATCTGCCTTAACTAAACTCGTATCATTACTGTACTTTTTAGTTTCCAGCCCTTTCTCTTTTCTATTTCTCTCAATGAAAGCAAATTAGTTGTAGAAGCAGCCAAATCCCATCTGTTGAAAATACAAAGCTTGAAAAAGATACTTCCCAGCATTAAAATGTGCAAATGGCAACATTTTTTGTCTCTAAATGTTATAAAAATTACCCCACTAAGCCCTGCCTGTCTCTACTGAAGGCGAGGATTCTCCCTACCATTTGTTTTTAGAAAGGTCCAGGATCTGGGTTAATCCTAGCTGGTGGCTACAAACTCTGGACATTCCGACTTCTTCTAATTTCTGCTGGAAGTGAGCCGCAAAAACCCGGCCAATCTCACAATAAACCGAGAACAGGGAGAACCGGAAATTAGCAGCACCATGTTGAACACCTTGTAACTTGCACACCTTCCTGCCACGAAGAAATATACGTTCTTGTACTTTCTTGTTTTAAGTCTTCATAAATCTTATAAATTAGACTAGATAAGACAGGGAAGAATGATTAACTGCAATATATCAGTAACCTGACAAACCCTGTCAGATTTAGGGACTGAACTGACTAAGGACATATAACGTTTAATATTTTGCTTTGTACATGTTGGAATGAACCCATTTTTGAGGTGTTACTGTTCTAATTATTTGTCACCACAATGTTTATGAATCGTAATTATCCCCCTTTTGTTGACTTTCTCTGACTTCTTTTTTTAGCAAGTCCTCAGAAGCGACCCTCTTCAATTAAAATTCCATCGTTAATCCAGATGCCAATTAGTAGCTTTCTCGTCCGTTAAAACAAAGTGTGTTGGTTCCATACAATAAACTTTTCTTTGTCTTTAAACCAACAGTTTTTGCTGACCGTTTAGTGGCTGGGTGGTCAGGTTAAGCTAAAGTGCTTCCAATTAAAGATACATTTATCAAGTCCTTGGAAGCCCTAGATTTCAACTCCATATAGGCAGAAGGCACTGCATGTCTTAAGCCTATCTATTTATGCCTGAAAGGTGAAGAAAAAGTTCACTCTCCTGTTTATAATTTGCTGTCCAATAATTGGGATAAAACGAGCTAATGCCTAATTGCCATAATAGTTCGTTTAATCCTGATAAAATGGAAGAAAAATATGCAGTGAAAGTCCAAAAACAGTCCCAAATCCTATTTTCCAGATGAGGGAATTTGACAAGAAAGTCATAACATCTGATTGACGTCTTAACGAATGTGATCAATGAAGTTGTTTTGACTGTTACAGGTAAAAATTTCCTTAGGCAGTTTGAGAAGAAGACCCCCCCCCCCCTCGGGTAGGGATTTTAGGACATAACAAGGTACACATTAAGGAAAATGTCCTAATATCTGTACAAATGTTAGCAAAGGACATGTACTATCTTTTGACCTCTTTAAGTTTTATGAATGATATTAACTGACACTGGGCTTAAGATATATTTTTACAATTCCCTATGATATGGCAAGTTGTATACTAATTAACAAAGAAATTTCACTTGCAATTGGGAAAATTTTCCGCAAAAACCCAAGTCATTTACTATAACACAAGCTTTCAAGACTTGCAAGATTTTACTGGAGTACCTATAGGCCAATGCTTCATGGTTGACTCTCTGTGTAAGAATTATGGGTAAAATGCAACATGGCTGCAGCATATCTGGTTTCCGCAGGTAGCCATAACAAAAGACTGCAGGACAAGAAAAGCGCCCAGAAATATTTTGGACTCAGGCCAAGTTTAAACATTGTCTATTATAATATGCCTGCACCAGTCTGTATTCTCTAAAGGCTATTATTAGACACTGGTGCTTAGAATTCCAGTGTGTAATACCTGACAACTCTATGGCTGTTCTAAGGCCACACAAATTTCATTTGTTGGTTTCTTGTGTTTAATGCTAAACTACTAGTAGATGAACTTGAAAACACAGTCTCAAGGGAAATTTTGTACTTTGGAGGGCACATGGTTAGTTTCAAATTTTCCTCTCTTCTCACTGTTTTTATGATGTCTTCCACAAAAATTTTATCTTAAAATGACTGATAACAAAGTTAATACGATGATGTCCCTATATCACCAGTTCCACTGGCTTGGGTTTCTTGCTGGACTAGATCATGAACTTGAAAATAGAGTCTGTACTTCAGTGGACATATCGTCAGTTTTCCTCTTATCCCTTTGTTTTTATGATATTTCTGTACAAAAACGTTATCAATGTGCAATACCTAGGTTTATACAGTAATGTCCTTATATCGCCGTTCCGCTGGCTTGGGGACCAACGTTAGTGTCAGTTTCACCCCATGTGACTGTCCCTAAGTCCCTGTCAGGTCTTGTTAACGTCTGGACTAAGTGGAGTTATCCCGTGCATTCCTGGAGACGTTTTGTGTCACCTCTGATTACAGCAAGGCTCCTGACGCAGCCAGGCATGGCCCCGTACAGTCCCCCCAAACTGCTCAGACATTTTAAGCCTGTTTGCAAACAACCGTGCAGCAATACAGGCAGGCAGCAGGCCAATATGTGCATTTTCCTATACAACATTTTAACACGATCAAGCAATGGATATCAGAAAGAGATTTGGCAAATATCATCATATAGCTTCTCATAAAAGATATGCAGTGGATTCAAAGTTGCTTTAACTGCTCTTGAAGTTAAAAGTAGCTTCTTTGTTTACTAATTTCCTTCTGTGTTTGAGGATATGCTGTAACTGTACAGCTAATTTGTAGAGTTACTGTGAAATGTATCCTTGGATACCGCGTGTTGTTTGATGAGGTTTTTGCCCCGGATGGCTGACTTGCCTGGAAACATCATGATGGCATTGTTTATTGCTCTGCCCGAGAAATTATGTACGATTATGAAACAGATTAAAGCTACTTCCTGACAAATCTCACAGCTTACAGAACAGATAGCTGGAATACCTGCAGCGTTACTCTCCAAGCAGAGGTTTGGCCTGTTTTTGGACATTTTTCAAAGCCTTTTTTGAACCATTTTTGTCAGACTTTCTGTTTTGTTCCTGTTTGTTTTGGTAGCTTGGTCAATGTGGTCAGGAGCTCACTATAGACAGGATTCTTACTGCATGTATCACTTAATGTGAAATATTATCTAACTTAGGGAATATCAAAAAATAGTCATATTGGCCCTTATATGTAGAGGTGGTGACCAGTTTGTGTTGACTGTATTTTTAACAAGAAATAAATGTCTTCATCATAAATCTACAAATCTCACCTGTGTTTTAATTGATGTCACCTGTCACTTATGCAGGCTTAAATGTTCACAAGAAATAAGAAGTTGACTTGGTTTCTAACCCCAAGGTCAACCAGGGATAAGCTTAAAGATTAAGGATTATCATGACTTTGGTTTTGTATATTTTGGTCAATGCTCAGTATATATGTGTATCTATTAGGAAAAATCTGCAACTCTCACCTGTGTTTTCATTGATGGCGAACTTCCCGTCCGCGTTCCCGCTGACGATTCGGTACGTGAGGCGGGCGAAGCGGCCGGAGTCTCGGTCCGAGGCCGTCACGGAGACGACCTCTAACCCCACGGGGCTGTTCTCCTGCACGTCAGCGGGGTAGGAGAGCGGGTAGAACTCCGGCCGGTTGTCGTTCACGTCCTGCACGAAGATCGACACCCACGCCGTCGCGTCCAGGTTTCCCCCGTCCTTCGCAGTCACCGAGAAGTCGTACCTGGGAGATTCACAAAGAGCCATATTATTTATGTACGCAACAACTTTGTTGAATAACGTACAATACTCTTTCTGATCAAGTCAGCTCATCTGTACCTTCCTCATTCAAAACACTCATCCAAAACAGACTGAAAATGCAAACGGACACAAATAGGATTATACAGAACTGGTAGTAAATGTACTGTAATCTGTATATATGTATGGGGTCTCCCCAGAACAGAAGAGGTGCACCCTAATCGGTTGATGAAAAATCGAAGAATTTTCATGGAAATACTAAGAGAAAACCCTAAATTTGAACATTTTGGGAGAGGTGCTAGGATTTTGGGGGAGACAGGGAGCACCCTTGCTTCATTGCTTGGGGAGAGCCCTGTTTGAATGTAAAAGCAATCAAAATTTAATGTGTAAAAAGGGTAATGTGTATGTCATAATTCTTGATGTTATGTGTATATTATGTATATGTTACTTTAGACTCCAGGAAGAGTAGTGAAGTAATGTTATGTAATGTTCTCAGACTAAATTTTTACTCTCGCATACCGGCTGGGTTCGGTGTCGTGGTCCAGGGTCTCCGTGGTGCAGATCCATCCCGTCGCGGGCTGGATGGTGAACGGGAGTTGCCTAGCGATGGGGGTCTGAGGGAAGGAGTAGGTCACATCACCGTTCACTCCCTCATCTGGGTCGGAGGCTGACACCTGGGAGAACAGAGAGAAAGAATTTCGGTCAAAATTGATGCAAACAATAAAAGGCATAGACAATCACTACAAATAGTCATCATCACACAACATTGACTCAAGAGGAGGAATACTCTTCAAAATGATGCAAAACAATAAAGATTATCTACTACAAAGCATTTCTCCAAAATCCCCCAAAATCACATTTTTTCATAGTCATTTTGCATTTATCTTCTTTGGTTGCTATTTCTTTCATAATATGCTATATTGGCTTATATTTTATACTAAAAATCAATAATTTTTCAATTCAATTCAATTTTTCAACATATCGTATCAAGAAGGCAATGCAGGAGGTAGTATCACCCCCTTATACTACTGGTAGATCATAGTTCCTAGTTAACAGTTAAGAACTTGACTTCCGAGGGGGGGGGGGTCTAGGAAAAACCACAATCTCCAACTTTCCCAGAGAGTTTCACCCCCAATCCACATGGTACGTGACTCTGCAATTCAATCTCGTAAACCTTCCATTTCCTAAACAAACCGCCTCTACCAAGTACAGGTGAAACACAGGCCTGGATTCAGCAAGAACAACAATAATGTGTGCTTCGGACCCGATACAAGAGCTTAGCGGAGGATTAAAACGGATTAGAAAGCGGGAAAGAAGATTAGCGCTGTCCAAGAGACGAGTCCTCGGCAGAAGTCTTTTCAGACTTGCACATGCTGATCCTGAAGGTGTATCTACAGTCCTGCTCCTAATGTCTCGTGTTGACGAAGGACTTAGGAACAATCTCTTCGATAAATATCAAGCACATTTTGTGTAGGCTGCTGCTGTCTCACTGAATGAATAAGGAGGAACAACCGTACAAATAGTTCGAAATAAAGGCTGTGACAACTGAAGGTTTCTTGACAATGTCTTGTACTGTGTGTACCAGGGCACTCTAAGAAAGTTACCCAGATGTCTTCAAGGTAGAAGTAGATGAAGAATATTGCAGATTTTCTTACATGTACTATATGCAGAAAAACCAATAAACACATGTCACAGAAAGTTGCTGTGCTTTTTGTTGCATCAATAAAGCTTCTTTATCACACGTGTGTGTACATCCAATAACATTATGAACCGACTTTATAGTTGTAAAACAACAGTTTATCTGATAGTGTTATCCAAAGATAACATCAGAATGTAGGTATACTGGAGTGTTGGCGGGCTAACAAGGATTGCCTGACCAGCTGCCATCAATTGCATAATGCCACTGCCCTGGGCAGGAATGGCTTCCACAGAACAGGTACACATGCCATCCATCTATAGTACAGATCTCACAGGGAACATAGCCTAAAACTTTGCGTAAAGCTTGACAAAGGAAATATCTTCAACATCCTGTTTCCAAGACAAGCACAAAGAAGTATGTTAGACCTGGAAGGAGTGATCTACCTGCTGTATAATTAACGATGACGTTTGTCTGTGTCTACATGAGGAATAGAGTAATGGCACATCGTCGTAATTAAAGTTAATCCCTCAAAGAAGGCCGCTACTTTGTGGCACAAAGGCCTGGATGATTCAGGCCGCATTAAAACGCAACATTTCTCTGAATTTGCCACGTTCCTTCACCCGTCTCCGCCGGGAAAACCGCAACAGGAGACGGCGTCGCCGGTCGTATACCAAGAATCCTCGAAATTCTGCGTAATTACTTGTAACGAAACGTTTACAATCATTCTAAAACGATGAATCTGCGAAAACTGCTTCCTTTCCCCCCAAGCCTTCCCAATTGTGACATAACAGGGCATTAACACATGTCTTGTGAACTTACCGACCAAAGAAACCGTTCCGTATCGAACAATACCAGATAACAATACCTGTACTGTACACCCACATGTGTGTCTGTGACCCACACAACAAAGATGAGTGAGGAAAGTGAGCACATTACTGGATCAGGGGATTTCTGTAAGTGAGAGTTAACGACCGGGTAAGGCTGGTTATTTGTCCCGAATCCCGGGTACAAGTCCAAGGCCCACTCTCTGTGTATCCCTCAAAGCTTGCCGCTACAGTGTGGCACAATGGCTATCCTGGGAAATGTAACGATTCAGGTTGCATCGAAACGCAACATTTTTTTAAACATAGTCGCCACGTTTCCTCACCTTGTCCCATCTTTGCCAGGTGTGTTTTAATGTAGCTTTGTTTTCTGATGGAAGACACTGGAAGAGTAGGTCTACATGTAGCAGGCTTCTTCTTACTCTAAGGTCATTATAACTGAATCACAGTTTGGTCATACTGAGTCACTGACCTATCAAACTAAGGACACCAATTTGCCACATTCGTAACCAGGTCCACCTTCAAGTTCAAGACCATAACCTGGGCCTGAAACTACTTTTAGTTCATAGTTACTCCGTTCTTGTAAAACAAATATGTATTTTTCAAGACTAAATGCTTCATTACAGGTAGTGGCAAGTCTACGCACTTCATAACACATTGTACCATGTACGATTGTCGAGCAATAAAGTTCATTCATTCATAATGGATTAAAATACCAACATTTCTGCATATTTTTTTCTTGCTGGTAGCGGAAGAGTTGGAGTTTCGATTGTACCATTCTTGACCAGTCCAGCTGACCTCGTCTTTACATGCAGGTCACCCGACAAAACTGCTGCTTCCAAAACACCATTATAGGATCATTGTCTGAATACAGCCCCAACACCACTAAACTCCACAGGTTAACCATTAACATGTACTCACAAAGGAGAGGATTTCAGCAGGGTGGGTTTTATTCCACTGCACGTTATACTCAAGTCTTTAATCCGAGGTAATGCCAAGAAAATTGTATTTTTTCGCAATAAAACATAAGCTGTTCAACCAACTTTATCCACAAACGTGTTTTAATGGAACAGATTCCAGTTGTGCATAGATACAGTAGCTAGGACAATGCCTGGTTAATTCTATCGCTCGGATGTGGGAATTTTCAAATGGAGCAACGAAAGAAAACACAACCAAAGCACCGAAAAGTCATGGATAAAATCTCACTTACACAGATCATCCTTGAAAGGTAGAACTTAATTACAATTAATCCTTATAAAACTTGGCGCAGTCACACAGATAAATATTATAAGGACTGAGAATGTATGTCAACACTGTAATGTATACACTGTGAAACACACACAGACAGAAAGACACACACACAGACAGGCCAAAAACAACACTTCACTTCCTTAAGGTATAACAACAAACTCTGGAAAACCAAAATAATCTATCAGGCAAAGGTAAAAGCTTTTATAGGAAGAGTTGAAAGATATTTCTCCTGCCAGAAATCTGAGACTAAACAATGCCACAGGTGAGAAGACTTGTATATAAGAACACATCAATGAATGTTAAACATCCAGGTAAAGAGGTAGAACTGTGAAGACATTTCAAGTAGCATATTATATAAACCTTAACTTTATTGCGCAACAATTGTACATGGTACAAAGCATGTCATCCACTATGTACGGATATTCAGTCAGCAAACAAGGCAAATATCCAGCACAGGAATGTCTCCAACAATTCAGGGGTCCCGATACACCTACTGCTAGGGCTATATGCACCTAATACCTGTATCTGTACCTTAAAATTAACCTGTACCCATACCTGTGCAAAATCTATATACAGAAGGAAAAGAATATTGAGTAAACGCCACCACCCCCCTCCCACCAGATGATGAAGTCAATACACATGGACAAGAGGCAAGATATAAGCCTTTATACTTGTGTCCCTTTGGTCTCACACAAGTACTCTATATCTACACATTGACCCAACCACTTCCAGCAAAGTACTAAACAGCAGAGCTAGCTTCATACTTATGTCCATGTTTCATTTCAAGCCCTGACACCAACCCTGCACTGTCTCCCTGTCTCTACAGTTCTTACTGAGAACCTTTCAGGCAGTCCTTAGCTGCTGCACACTACTCAAACACCCAGGCTGGAGGGAGAGGCAAGACATGTGTTTTAGTGTATCTGATGCTTCGTTTCAAGTCCTGACACCCATAGTTCAGACCATTTTCTGCCTCCATGTTTTGACTCAACCCTGTACTCTTTCTCTCTATCAGTAAGACCCTGTCAGGCGGTCCTTAGCTGATGCACACTACTCAAACACCCAGGCTGGAGGGCTGGTTTCACGTTACCGGCTCAGGTTACCTGTCTGACGGAGTGGGTCCAGGGCAGAGTCAAGTTCACAACAGGTAATGCAGACACAAACACTGATTCTAGGCTAGTTCTGGCCAGTAATTTTCATCACACAAACACTCCTGACACCCTGTATGTGCTGTGATGTTTTCTTCAGTGTAAGAGAAGATTCTAAGAGTGTTTTTGCGATCGCTTGGAGTCTTTAGTTTTTTACGGGGCTGAGTGACCCTCTTGGCAGGGGCCGTGCAGTTTTCTTTAGGCTGAGTTTAAAAGTTCCCCGGCGATTTATCAAGTGCAGAGAGACGTGGCAGGCATGCGGAGGACACAATTAGCAGGCAGAGGTGTGCTCAGGACATGTAGGGTGACATGGGGAGGGACGCTGAATGTGAGGACATGTGTTTTGATGTCAGAATGACCCCAATGTCGTTTTCTGTACATCATTGCATACAATGTGTCTAGGGCTCGATATAATTACTTGACGCTTGAGCTGGGTTACCTGAAGTTTTAGTTTAAGTTTCCAAGCAGTTTATTTAACTTGAATGTCACTGAAAAATTGTAATTTTTTTTTCAAAAAATTCATATGATAGAAGAAAAAAAAAGATTTTTGTTTTTTCGAAAAAATATTTGAAAAGATGGGCTTCCAATTTTATTGTGTTGAATTAAAATAAAATTTAACCCTTTTCTAGAGCTGAAGTTTTGTGCCACCAGCAAAAGATTGACTTCAGTTTTCTAAGAAAAACAGCAATACTCAAGATTAGACATGTTAGAAGGCTTATCACATCCACATTAAGTCCTTACAGAACACCTGATGACAATGTTTTCCCCCTCAGACAAACATCCCGACAGTTTCTCTGTTCCTCTGCTTTAGCAACAACCAGCAACAATTGTACAAGTCTGACGTCTGAAACACTGGAGACCAAACAATTTATTTCTTCTGCCTGTTAATTAGTAATCGTCAGCACAAAGGACTGAACCGTTCAATGATGTCTGATGATGAATCCGGCAGGTTTTTCTTTGAGCGATACTTACACAAGACTTGCCTGTCCGGTACACAACCCCCCGGTGGTGCCTGGACCAATTTGCACGAGCGAGAAGTCAACAAGAACTCTCAAATGGACATTTGACTTTCCTTTGTATAATTCAACCCAACTCTGCCGCGATGCTCGATTATGAAAAGGGACCCATTTGAGACATTTACGTAAATTATATACAAATAACCACCAGTGAAACCAAGAGGACCGACAGCTGAAACAATGGCAGAGGCAAGACCGGTCGCCAAACCAAATGGACCCATTGAGAGAAGGGCCTATACACTGTCATCAGCATGGCGATAGTTGTCGTATGGAGAAAGGGCAGGGAGGGATGGAAAAACATCGTTAATTCTTGCCTCGTCAGTTCTGCTTATCCGAGTTCCTCACAGATGAAGCTTGTAGCTGACGTTGTGCAATTATCGAGTGACGCTAAAGAGTGTACCAGGTTTGATGGAGTGTCTGTTGTCAATGGAGGGATCGGAAATATGCGACACTCACTGTCATGATTGTAACTTCGAGTCACGGTGGTTTAGCTTCGGTCCCGTCCGAAAGCACGTCCAAAACACATCCATTCTGCATTTCTGAGTTAGTCCAAGGAAGTTAGTGAGAGTATCACAATAGTGTGAGACAGGTTATACACTACTAATGGTTTGTAAAGGATATTGAAAAAAGTTTATACATTCCAGCACTATGATCTAACTCACAAGATAAACTTTCCATTGTCTACCCCAGTCATTAATTATATCAAAACTCTCTGATTTGAACCTCGGTACATGGTCCAGTATAAACAGAGTATGAAAAAACTGACTAACTGACCGTTGCCAAAATCATATCCAGTTGCTTGACTTGAGTAACTGTTTTTTTTGGCGTATCTTATTACCTGGATGTCTAACCTTCATTGACGCAAAAACAGAGTATCTTCAAGTAAACCTTCATGTGTAGGGGATAAAACTGTTTTTGAAGATGTCTCTAACAGATTGGAGTAATGTGTTCATTTGTATGTTTTTTTAATCCCTCTTGTATAGGTTTTCTAATTTCCAGGTGATGACAACCGATCAACACAGTTTTCCTGGCCTTATCAGGTCCAGGCTGTCGACACACAAGTGCGTTGGCCTGGCTACTTTGTACTCTAGAAGCTCACTAGTACTCATGCCGGGTTCTAAAGCCCTTCTGCCTTGTTTCGGACCATTACCAGACTACACTCAACAGCCATTCCAGCAGCCATCTGCACTCGGAAATGACAGGAAAGGGCAGTCGGTCATTTTCAACCCCTCCCCCTTTCTGTATGAATTCAATGTGTCCTCGTATTGAGATTTTAGTATACTGACCTAACCCAGAGAAAGGCTAATGAAATACAAAGCCAGGCAAAAGGCCTAAATATGGTTTTAAAAAAAGTTCACAACAAGCCTAACCTTACCTAACCTCTGCTTGAAGTCAAGAAGAATCAAAATCTATACAAGAAGAATCAAAATCTATAGTGTCCAAAACCGGGTTTAACCAGAATCAAGCTCAGGAATGGTTCTGGAAGGTGCACGCATATCTAGAACCATGCCTAGGGCAAATCTCTGTTCTTGGATTCATGGGGACTATCCAGAACTGTTCCTGATCCTACCCCTAACCCATTCAGACACAGAACTAGACAGGCACAGTTCTGGATGAGAGTCTCAGTCTCCACACTACATGCTGACCACGTCTGTAGGTGACTCCATGCCACAAACCGTTTGTATCACACCACAGTTCAGGGCAGGCGGTTTCAGGCGGTTTCCTTGAGCCGGATTTGTTCCAGATCTCGCCTTACTTCTTACTTATGGTTCAGTCATCTTCTGTTCATTCTACATTCTTCTGATTTACTTATAAGGTGTCTAAAACCGACACGGTACACTTAAACTGTGTGACCGGAATCACGATCGAAGGCTTACAGAGAGAAAGTTCAAGCAAGGGAGGGAAAAAGTTGAGCTCCGAAAAC